TTGTTTGTTTTGTTTGTTTTGTTTGTGTTGTTTGTATTGTTGCTTTGTTGGTTTGTTGGTTTGTTGGTTTGTTTGTTTGTTTGTTTGTTTGTTTGGTTTTGTTTGCTTGTTTGTTTGTTTGTTTGGTTGGTTGTTTTTTCGTGTGTTTGCGTGTTTGCGCATTTGTATGTGTGTGTGTGTTGTGTGTGTGTGAGTGTTTGTTTGTTTGTGTGTTTGCACTTTTGTGCGTGTGTTGTTGTGTGGTTGTGAGTTTGTTTTTTGTGTTTGTTTGTGTGTGTGGTGTGTGTGAGTCTTTGTGTGTTTGTGTGTTTGCACTTGTGTGTGTGTGTTGTTGTGTGGTTGTGAGTTTGCCTTTTTCTGTGTTTGTGTGCGTGTGTGTTTGTATGTGTGTGCGTGTGCAGCAGGCAAGCTTACGGAGGAGTTTTCATGCAAACTGCCATGTGAAGAGCGTGTCAACTTGAGGATGGTACAAACCCATACTCCGCAGGAGCCTCAGAAAATGCATTGGATTGCATATGATGTGGTCGATTGAAGCAGTGCGTTTCGGGAATCTGTTTGCATGAGCGTATTGGTGTATGGTTGACGACTTGTAAATGGTGGCCTTCCTGTTGCTTTCCCTTTCAACCAACCTAACACGGGTACCTCCCGATATATTGATTTGTGTACTCCGAACTTGACAGCAAGATGGAGGGAACTTGACCCATGGTCCGGCAGCAACGTGTCGCTTGTCGCGCTTGTCACCCAAAGAAATCCAAAAGAAACAAGGGGATGGACCAGGGATATTCTTTGTTTCCCGACCCCTTTGCAGCACCCAGGGTTTGCCGGCCGTGAGTCACTGAGGTCATGTGAACATCAATTACAAGCGAGTGGTCGTGCCTGGGCTGCAGGCCAAGGCAAAATTGAGGCCAAGCTTCTTGGGGTTGGCTTAAATGACACCAAATGGCTCTGGGTCAAGAATGGGTATCCATTTTGGAACCCTAGTAAATGGAACCAAGGACTCAAACCTGCGGTCCCCTGGTGCTTTAATTTTGACCCACACCCAAATGGAAATCGCGCATTTCAGCGTTTCTCAGCAAACGGAAAACTGAAGGAACACCAGGCATGTCAGCGTTTCTCCAACTCCAAGGCAACCCAGGTTTTGACATTAGCATATTATAGGCTGGCGAAGTGCAGCAACACCAGCCCACGTGTGCCCTGCTTCGCAGGCAAGCATCGGAGTTTTCACCGTTTGCAGAGCCAGGTAATAGGACATTGTAAAATTCGCTGCCATTCTGTCAACACTGGCGGGGGTACGTAAACGCTGCTGAAATTTATCACTTCGGCTCTAGACAGCAAGACTTAGGCTTTGCGCAATGGCCCACTTTCCCCCCCGCAACCCCCCCCTCCCCCCAAACCCCTCTTCCCCCGAACCCCCCCAAACCCCCCGAACCCCCCCCCCAAACCCCCCCCGAACGCCCCCCCCCCCCAAACCCCCCATGTTTGGGATGGTCAACCCTCCCTTTTCCAGTGCCATCCATTTCGTCCGAAGGCAGTTCCGTTTCTGCGCAGGTACCGCTGATCCCCATTTTGGATGGCGCACGTCTCAGATTTGAGCGACGAAGACAGGACGGGCCAACACGCTCAGAATCCCAAGACCCTTGCGGGCACTTCCCCCACCAAAGTGGGACCACCAGGGGATCACCCTCTAAAAAGGTTCTAGAAACCGTTGGGAGTTGTTGTTGTGTGTTGTTTCTGTCATTTTCTGTTTCTTTTCTGTTTTTTTTGGTTCTGGGGGGGGGAGGGCATAACTGCAAAAGAAGAAAAAACGTGCAACCCACTGAACCGGTTTTTGGCATTTGATTCCCCATCAAAGAACAACTATTCAAGTATGTCACTGTTTGTTACCTGGCAGGGCACCCTTGCTTCCCTATGATGGAGCAGAGTAATGGAGATTTCGGCCTTCTATTTCCAGATTACAGGGAATAAATGCATTTGATTTGAATCGAACCAAGATCCGTTGGAGAAGAGTCAAGCATGCACTACGCAGATGTCGCGCAGACAGCAGGCCGATGGGGAACCTTCAAAAGCGAACCGAGAACCCAGGATTTTCCAGCTTCACTTGTGGAACCCAGGATTCAACCCCGGATTTCTCCTCTTGGCATGAAGAAGACCTTTGGGTTGAAGTCTACCCCGGTCAAAAAGTGGCCCCAAACGGAGAGAGCGGCCCACTGGCCCACTGGCCCTGCAGCCATCTTGGCTCAGGCCCGCCCTGTGAAGCCCCGTCCGTTTTTTTCGGGGGCTGCCAAGGGGGCGGGTTTGGCCGCAATGAAGTCAGAGCCGAAGGATGCTCGGCGGGCGGGTTGTGGGACCCACAACCCTTTTTCTGGGCTCTTAGGATACATTTTCTCCATGTTGCCAGTGACTCAAAGGGAGCAAACAATTGAATATACATTCTACAACTGGGCCGAAGTCTAATCATGTATTGGTGTTGAGAACCTAACACCCCCTTTTGGTTTCAAAGGAAACCCAACCACTGTGGGGGGGGGGCCGGCCCTAATCTTGAGACAAGCCCATCGTTGTTCAAGCTCGGTCAACTTGATCCCACTTGCCCCAGCCTGAAAGCTGCTAAATGCACGCGCCGAACCCCCTACTCGCATCAGATATCCAGAGTGATTGCTCCATTCCACAGAATTGTCAGGTGTCATTTGAATTTGGGGGAGTGTGCAATGGTATGTTCTTCAAGTGTGTGCGCGTTTACTTGCCTTTTTGTCTGGCTTGATGCGCTGTGCTGCAGCGTTTGGCCGCAGCTTCCAAGGAGGCGAACGAGGCGAACGAGGCGAACGAGGCCAACGGCGCGCAAGAGCGCATCAGCCGCATTTTGGAGATCGTCAAAGGGGGCGATCGCCCGGCTCAGAGAAAGGCTAAGGCCAAGCGCGACGCCCGGCGCAGATTCATTTGGGTGTGGCTCAAAATTAAACAGGAGGGGTTACGCAGGTGTTGGTCCATGTTTCCACTTACCAGGGTTCCATTTTGGTACCGGTTTTTTGAGGCACTGCCATTTGCCTCTGTCCAAACCAAGTGACTCAATTGCTAGTCTTCACTCTTGTTGGGTTGGCAGTAGAGGGGTAAGCGTTTTCATTTGAGACTTTCTGAGGTCAAAACAACTTGTCCGCACAGCCACGGGGCCACGCAACCCGTATGCAACGAACCACTCACGCACAAGTGGTTGACCCAGCAATCCATTAAAGATCAGAGTGTTCAGTAGACAGGCGCAATGCGGCGTGTGTTTTCAGTTTGGTTTTTACTGGCTGGAGTCAGGTGTGAGGCTGAGAAGACATAGATTGTTTGAGAGAAACAAAGTGCACAGTGGCAAGTTCAACTATCACGCCCTCAAGTTGTTTTGGTCAAAAGAAGACGTTTGCTTGCTTTGTGGTGGCAACATCCGTTGATTTGAAAAGTAAACGGTGTTTTTCCCCCTAGGAAACCAATGGACAAATACTAATGCCATGTCGATGTTTCGTGAACGGGCGCGAAGTTGTTGTGACGGCGTATTTTGAAATCGAAAACACCCGGAGAGTATTCTTTGGTTTAGTGCTTTGAATGCCAGAATGGCATGTTATCAGTCGTTGATTCCAAATGTTTTCCATTTGCACTCCTGATGTAGCCTGTGCCAAGGATGGAAGAGATCGAAACGGCAAGGACGGCGGCAAGACCGCTGGCAAGGACAGCGGCAAGGACGACAGATATTTGGAGAGACCGGCGCGTGGTAAAGGGGCTGGAGAGGCTGAGCGCCGCAAAAAGCGGCTCGGGCACAAGTACTGAGTTGGAGCCATGTGCAAAGGGTCATGGATGGCGGCCCTGTTCCCATTTTTTGTTGTTGCTGACATTGAGTTGGACATTAAAGTGTGCCAGATAAAGGATAATTAAGGAGCATCAGAACAAGGCGACAGCAGCAAGCAGCACAAGATGTTCTGTGTTGCCTGGTTTGGTCCATAATTGGTGCTCTACTTAGCCATCGACTGGAGTTTGTACTCCAAAAGCCAGAATAACAAGAATCTCCACATGGCCAACATTTGCACACCGAAAGCCTACACTTGTTGTACTTTGCACAGTTTCATTTTGACATTTGGACCACGCAGAGACTCAAGTTTCTAAAAAAAAAGAAAGAAACAAAACGCATTGTGGCACGATTGTTTCAAGGCTTCATTTCGCCAGTCAAGCGAGGAACCAAGAGCGAAGTGACAATGAAGAGGACAAGAAGGTCTGGATCAAGAAGCCGGACTTGTCCGGCTTCAACGCAGAAGCCCCCGAGTTTCTGCCTTCTGTCCTCAAAGGGGACGCTCCGCCCTTCGTGCCAGCATACCTTGACCCCGTCATGGCCGGGTCGATGGAGCCCGGCTACGACGCCTGGTACGGCTTCTGGCCAGAAGCGCCAGTGAGCGCTGGAGACTCCGACTTGCCCGAGGCGAGGAGGTTTTGGGCTTGGTATTAATGTCTATGTGTGTGTGGTTCAAGTAGAGGGGTTCACTGCAATTGGAAGTGGCAAGGTGAGCCGGCAATATGTAGTCGACATGGATGCCACTTGCTTTTGGCATCCAAGAATCAGATTGCGCACAGTGCGGTTGGTGGTGTGTGCTTGACTCCGACCGGCTGTGATTTGAGTTATGGCACAGAAAGAAGCTAAATCGAACGCTTGCAAGCACAGGGCAGCAAAGAGTACTGTATCACGTATCCACGAGAAAAGATCACCTGATAACCCACTTTTGAAGCGTGCTGCAAAGGATTAGCAGTTGTCCAGCATTGGACAGTTGAAGCATTCAGAGATTTGTTGGTGCCGAATTTGTGTTGACGGGCTTCCAGAATTCAGAAGACAGGAGGGTGGTGCAACGTCAAATTCGCTTCTTTGTCCTCTTTCTAATGGACCCGCACCCCCCAAAATCACGGTTTTCCTTTGGGTGTCCTTTTCTTCCATGTGGTTAAGAATATGTGTTATATTTTCCCCAGTCTGTTGTAAAATAAATCTATCACCGGGCGTATTTTCTGATTTGTCCAGGGGACGAAGAAGCAAATGAAGGTTTTGCCCGGCAGAGCGCCAGGTGGTACCAGGGCCGCGGGAGGGGGAGTATGTGGGCCTGCAGAGCATCGCGGAGATGGGGGAGTCTTGGTTAACATCTCCCGTTCTCAGCAACAGTTTGCTGTGGACCCCTTTTTGTATGTATATAGCGGTTTCTTCTATTGAGCCAGATTCACCATCATGTTGTGTGCTTCCTTCCGGCGTTTGGACATAGTAGGCAAGGGGTGTCCCCATGCACCTAGAGGTAGGGTTACAAAAGGGTTTGCGATGGTAGCGACTGGAAGCACTGGGCTACACGTTTGCCCTTTAAATTAATGAAAGCATAAAAGGTGTTGATGTTGTGAAAAGGGGGGAGAATAACATCATTACCACCCCCCTGCCCTAGACATAGACACCCACCAGCTGGTTGCTGTGAAGATGGGGTCTAGGATTCAACGGTAAGGATTGGATCGTGCTTCGGGAGAAGAAGCCGAAAGCCAAGCCCTTCTTTTGGAACACCGCCACTGGAGAGAAGACCTGGGAGGCTCCTCCCATTCTCCAAGAGCGACTCGGAAAACGAATCCAGGTGTCCTTGAGTCAGTCTTTTTGTTGAACACAGAGTACAGAATTTGTTTGGCTCGGTTTGCCCGCCTGGAAAAAGGGTGGGTTTGTCGTGTTTTTGTGGAAACCAGAAGGAAACCACAAGTTCTGGGAGCTTCCCCCACGTTTGAGACATTCTGTTTGGGAACCACCAACTGGGTGCTCACCGCTTTTCCCATTTGAGCCCTCTTTTTGCCCCCGTCTCTTTTATCCGCGCTTTCGGCTCGCGAGGCTGGGGGTGGCGGAGATTTTGGTGAAGTGGTCGGAAGACCTGGGGGAGTCGGGCATCGAGCCCAGCCCTTTGCTCCGGAACCCCGAGCCCCAGCGCCGCCGGAAGGAGAAGAAGCCCCCCCCGGGCTTCGCGGACTGACTGACACCTGCGAGAGCTTTCGCGCGAGCGCAAGTCCGCCCGCGCGGAGGCGGAAGGTGTGGGGTTTTCTTGTTTCTGTTTGGAGGCTACCCCGGGTTTAAGGGAAACCAACAAGAGAACCGGCATTTTGCGGGTCCCCCCTTCTTTTTTTTCATTCGTAGCCAACTCGGAGTGACATGCCTTGAGAAAACCATTGGCTTTTGGCGCAAGCTTGTGAGGCTTGCTTGCAAAATCCGAGGTGGCAACAAGTGGTATCCTAGACTCTATGATGAATTCTTTCCGACCATTTCGTTCAGCTTTTAGTCCGAATGCATTTCGTCAATTTGGCGTGTGGCATGCATGTTACCCGATCGAGTCCGCGAAGCCCTTGGCATCGAAACCGTGCGGAGGGTATCTCACTTAGTTGGGTGTGGCACGAGGACTCAAGTTGAAAGTCCAGCGGCGTGTGGAATGGTTCGCTCTAAAGGCCAAGCAGACTGGTTCAAACCTCAGGCAAGACATGGTTTGTACTCCGGTAATTTTGGTGCCATGCCCGTGCTCTTCCTCACGATGTGCCATGCCCGAGTCCCAGCGCGAGCCACATTTGCACAGCGCGTGCTCTATGTTTCACCTGATCAGCTTCCGCCTCAAAATCAGCGCGTTTGCGTGTGTCTCATGCAAACTCCCGGTCCTGCGGTCGTGCGGTCGACTGATACGAATTTTGCTGGGTAGAGGGCTTGAAGGGCAAGAGTCTTGGAGCTTTAACCTGGGCATTGCTTCATGACGTGTGTGTGTGTGTGTACTTGTGATTATACGTGTTTGTTCTTGCTGTAGGACTGTGCATCTCACTTCACGTGTTCGATTGAAATCGTTCTGCGTGTTGTTGTAATTGGAGAGGGGTTTGGTACAAAGAACAATTGCATGTTGGGTTGTTTGGTTCCTGGCCGCCACTATTCCCTCGGGCAGAAGCCTTCCGCCACCATTGCCTCGCTTCCACTAGGGGCAGAAGCCAGGCACAGTCTCCAAAAAGCCCTCCCCCTAAGTTCGGAAGGATTCCGTTAGTTGGGTCGCTGATCCTTGCCCGCACGTCAACATGCATGTCAAGGGATGATCATTGTGCGAATGTGTTTGTATACTTTAGATCTCTGCAGTCGACCGCGGAAAGCAAGCAACACGAAGGTTTGCCTCTCGCTGCGTTACCTCACAAATGATGGATTGGTGTTGGGTGATCAATTGGATGTGCGGCAGGCACATTTCTTCCAAAGCAGTTCGGCCGACAGTCCTGCCATGAGGCGATAGCTGGCAGATCAACAACCTCGCAGTGGGCGTTGGCATCTTAGCGGTGAGGCGTAGTCATCTCCAACGACCAAGCAATAGCTAAACTTCGTATTTGCACGCCTTGACCCGACCTTGGCATTTGAGTGGCGCCCGGGCAATCTCTCGCGCGAGGGTTCCTGAGACACAAAAAGTCTAACAGCCTTGGCAAGAACTGGCGCAAGTTCCTTACATCCGCATTGGTCAACAGGCTGTGACCCAGACCTAATGGCAGTGTCCCTCATTCCAAGAGGGACACCAACCGCTAATTTTGGCCCCTCAAAGGGACACTGACGCCAGGCGGAAGCACAAAGGACAGGTGAGCGCTCAGGCATCTAGTGAGTCTTGTTTTGACATGCCCCCATCTTTCTGCGCGTGTTTGTGTTGTCTCTGTGTGTCTGTGCGGCGTGTGTTTGTTTGTTTGTGTGTGTGTGTCTGTTTGTTTTGGTTTCTGTTTCCTTCCGCGCTTGTGGGCGTGAAAGGAATGCCGAGGTCAAGATGATGTTCGACTGGCAGCTGCGCTTTAAGTGGCTGGACGACGGCAGCGACTTGGTGCCCTGCATGAGCGGCGGCCTCTTCGGTATCACGTGGCTTGGGCCTGCGAAAGCGGGAAAGCGGGTGGGCCAGCGAAGGCGGGTGGTTCTTCCCCTTGGCCATGCTCGAAACAGAGTTCTAGCACAGGCGTGAGACCTGCCATTTCTCGCTGGAATGTTTTGAAGGGCTTTTGGCCACGCGCCTTCAGGCATGTTGTTTTGTACCATTTTTGGGGTGGCTTTAAACGGATTTTTTGCTTTGTAGGGTTTTTTTTGTTGGGGGAGGGGGGGAGCGCCCCCCCTATTTTGGCACATTCATTCTCACCCGACTTCCAGCGCCACAGATCCGTCCGAATGCAGCAAGTCGTCGGCTTTGCGTCAGCCTCCCATGCTGGCTGCAAGTATGCCTGTTCGTTTGGTTCGCGACCTCTTGCTAATGTGTTGCTCATGATATGTTGGCAGGTTCCTCGCATGCCCATTGCGGAAGAGACGTTCTCATTTTTCTGAAAACTCTCCCCCATGGCCATCGGATTTCCCTCGTGATGGTTGCCTGAATTGTTCCTGCCTCGAGTGCTGTGTACACCCGAAATATGAGTGATTCTCGTTTTGCTTTGGACATTTGCATGTACATTCCGCAGGACATCTTCTGTTTTGCTGTGCTGGGTAGCCTGTAAAATGCCCTGTTGGTTTCTATGCAAAGGACAAATATGTTCTTTCAGGGCAACAAAGGGTGCCTTCAGAAAAACTGCTTGAGGAAGCGCTGGTGGCACGAGTCTGGGGAGCTGCATGGCTGATGTTTCAGAGGGAGGGAGGGAGAGAGAGAAAGCTGACGTTCCGTTTGCATGTTGACGTTGTCCAGGGTTCCATTTTGAGTATGCCCATGATTTGACCCACACCCATATGCTGATTTTCCGTTTGAGGGTTGGCCCGCCTTCAACCGAGGATGCAGTTGTTTGATACCTCAGGCAAATGATGAGTATGTTCTCAGGATGATGCCTTGAAAAGATGGCCCGATAGGAAGGTGATTTACATCTGGGGACTCTTTGAAGAAATGCGGATAGCATCCGCACCCATGTCTGACGCTGCTTAGTCTGCTTGGTCCTTGATTTGAGTTGCACCGGCACCAATGGGAATGTTTCCCCGTTTCTTCAGGGTCAAATCCAGCTAGCCAACTTTGTGTGTGTGTGTTTTTTTGTCACCCCTCAGCTTTCCCTTCGCTTGTTCTAGGTGGCTGGTTGATATTCTGGGAAGGCCAGTGTAAGAGTTGCAGCCCCAGAAGGTCAACCTTCTTCCCAGAACTTTTAACCAGGGCTTCCCTGGTAAAATACACAGCCGCTCGGATGCCAGTCATGTTGCAAGTGAGGGGAGGCATCCCGTGTTTGCAGGTCCAGACCAAATGGATAGGCAAAAACACGAAGCGGCCAAAGACAAAAAAGGCGTTGCAGCCATTGACTGAGAATCCATGGACAATTTTGTTCAAGACGTGTGATGCGTTGAGAGCTCTGGTAGTTTGCGGTTCATTGAGCTGGGGTAAGTAGATTTGGGAACATTTATGAAACCAGATTGCAATCTGAGTTGCCTCTTGACGAAAGGAGGTGTCATGACGCTTGTGCAAATGGGTCCACGCTGTCCATGAGCTTGGCTGAAGGAGCCAAGGTACGATTACGGCATGAACATGTGGGGTGGTGAGAACATCGAGCAGTCCATCCGAATCTGGCTGTGTGGAGGTGAGATCTTTGTCGCTCGAGCCTTGGCATGTGGAATGAGAGCGAGAGGGTGGTTTTGGCAGGTGGCACAGCAGGCATTCAAAGCTCGGTCATATGGATTTCACGAAAAAACACAGCTGAGCTGGGGTTCCAAATCTCAATTCGGATCGATCCTGCACACTTCCCGAAGCGGCGCACTCATTTCGGAAGCGTCACTATGACCCCATCACTGTGTAGGGGCCTGTGCTTCATTTTCCGGCGTACGGAGTATAGGTCATTTGGTTGCTTTGTTGGCCGCAGACAAGTGAAGCAAGCACGGTAAAGCCATCTTCGGGCCATTCAGTCGATCTGAAGATTTGTGTCGATTCACATCGACAAATCGGCTGTGGCCATTTTTCGCAGCCGAGGAGACTCCCGCATCGGCCACGTCTTCCGCAAGGAGTTCCCCTACGAGATCAACTCCACAGATCCTTGGGTTGATGCGCTTGAGAGCGTAAGCGCCCTTTTGTTTGTCTTGGGGGAAAATAGATGGCCCTGGTTTACCTGGTGGTTCAATCCTCTACCAGGCCATCTTTTTTGCCCTAAAAGGACACCTATGCTTGGGCTGAAACTTGAACTGTTGAAAGACCAAATCGTTCCGCGTGTCCAGCGAACACCTACACAAAATCTAACGACCCTTTGCTCGAGGGGGGAAGAGCAACTCAGGGAGTACCTATATAAGTTCGACATGGGCATACCCAAAAAACCTAGCACCAATGGCGAAGGACAACCCGATCGGGTGAATGCATGAATGCAAGCAGAGGCTCATGCTATAGCTTTACCAGGGGTCCCTATATTTCCCTTTTTTGGTGGTTTTAAACATCAGGCGTTGTGGCTCAGGCCGACCCGTGGCGCGCCCGTTTGGGGACACCATGGTGTCCCCGCCGATTGGGTCGTGGAATTCCCTTTTGGGGGTGGACCACATGGTCGATGGCTGGGATTGGTTCCCCCATTTGATAGATGGTCGGCGGGGTACCCTCGCTATGGAATGCGGGGACGACACCGGATGGGGGCTGCATCTCATTGAGATGCAGCTCACTGAGAGCAAGATCTTCCTCGAGGACATTGCATTGGCTCGCAGCCACCTGGTGAACTCTGCCTGGCAGGGCGGTGCTTGGTTGTTGGTGCAAGGGGCTACACTCAGGAAACAACATGAAGGTCACTGGCATGCTGTTTGTGATGACAGAACAGGTATCAGACTGTGGGACATTCGCAGGGCTGGATGTGCTAGGATCACTGAATTGTTTTGTGGAGGTATGGGTGGATGGTCCATGGCAGTGGAATGGTGCAAGCAACAGGGCTTCCCTTGCCATACGGTTGCTGCGCTCGACTGGGACAATCTGGCCACTAGATTTTTCCAGCTCAACCATGGTGGTATAGTGCACACCCACGTGCCCGCTTGTGTGAGGGAGAACGATATGCCACTCATCTTGCATGATGAAATGAGCGTTGTGAATGTGGTGCATCTCATGGCAGTTACAAAAAGCAATGCATTGACTTCATCACCACCGTGTCCTGACTGGTCCACTGCTAGCTCGCAAGCAGGTCTTTTGGGGGAAGGAGGAAGGGAAATCATTCGTACCATGTGTGCTGCAAGGGTCGCGGCTCCTCTTTGGGTCCTCCTGGAGAATGTTGCAGCGATGAGAGACCACGCTCACTGGAGCATGATCCACGAAACCATTCGTTGGGCAGGGTTCATGATTGCCGAGTACAAGATTATGGACTTGGCCGACATGAGAGCAATCAGGCGGCCCAGATTGGTGATCCTGCTGATCAACAAGTCCATATCATGCGCCAGTGTACCCAGCATGCCCTGGTACAAAGTACCAAACCAAAGCCTGGGTTCAAGTGAGCTAGAAGAATTGCGCCACCCGGATGAGATCATGCATCAGGTTAGACTGAATTCCGATCTTGTCAAGTTTTACAGTAGGCAAGAATACATGCCCGCAAGGTGGACCACTTCCGACGGCATATCAGAACCTGTGACAGCACGTGTCGTGAAGCATAGTGACAAAGTCAATACCATCATGCGCATGTACTCCCAGCAACATCGCATATCGCATGAAAAGCTCCTGAGGAAAAAACTGCTGGCACAGTTGCATAAGGATGAAACTGGATTTAGATTTTTCACGCCCGTGGAGATTCTTGCGTTGCATGGCATTGCATCCCCAATTCACGTGCCCATCAGCGTCAGACATGCTTTTGAGTTGGTTGGAAACATGATTGTGCCACTGTGTGCGCTGCCAGGGGTCCTGGCGATCATGTGCTCTAGCATCCATGATGCCGAAAAAGCCCCCATGGATTACCTCAGAAGATATCAACAGCAAATTTGGGAGGCCAGGCAAATTAATGTTGGGTGCCAAGAAGATGTTGCTGTGATTAAGGGCAATTTCCTTGCACAAAGTAATGACATTGCACCGACCGCACCATGGCCATCCCAAGTGTTGGAGCAAATCGTGTGCCACGTTGAACCGCATGGAACTGCAGAATCCGGTGGAGCAGCAGTGCAAGGTGGCCCGAAATGGCCTGCTACCTTTGAATGTGAAAACGCTGCCGACCAAGTTGATGTGTCTGTGCACGTCATCACGTGCTATCTTGAAGGTGCAAAGCATGAAATCCAGTGTGAGGCTGCCGAACGCCTGGACAAGGTCATCAGACACCTTGTTGATAAAGTATGCAATGTGATTGTCATCAGTGACCATGACCGCAAGAAAGTCGTGCAACCCTCGACTAGAGGAACACAGATCCCCAGTCCGATTCGAGTGTTTCACACAGTTCGGATCGTGAACCCTGCCTGCATCACCAATGAGAGCGTAGCCAAGCACTTCCGTGAAGTGATCAGCCTCATGTGGACCCACTCACACCCGGATGTTCCAATCCACTGCCTAGAGGTGAGTGTGCAAGGCACTAAGTGGGCGGAATGTGCTGTGCCTATCAACATGACATGGCGCAACGTGATCGTTGGAATGATGTATGCATTTAGCATCAAGCCCAAAGTGTACCATGAGATCCATGGCCACGCAGATGACAAGTGGGGATACTCCTTGCAAGCTCTGATCAGCAAACCAGGGAGGGAGACACCGGTGAAGACATGCATCAACCTCGTGTGGCCCCAGCAAGCTGCAGGTGAGGATGCTCCGCACGACAGTGATCCGCCTGAGCCTGCAGTTGGGGAGGAATGTGTGAAGCATGATATCCCCCGCAAAAAGCTGTGGCATGAATGTGTGCAGGTGCAATTGCCATACGTGCCCGCTAGCACAGTGACGATCCTACCCGATGGCACGGCAAGCACTGGCATTAGCCTAAGCAGAGATCAGAGGGGTCAAATCCAACTGCTGGAGTGGGCTAGACGTGCACTAGACAGCTGGGAAACTCATGGTGGCGTTCGGGCACCAAGTAGCGAACACCACAGCAAAGCCGTGTCACGAAGCTTGCACAAAAGGTGCCTACGCGAAAAACGTTGGGTTGATACTGTCCGGGAATTTGCCTACAACGCATGTAGCCACATTCAGGTGCTTGCTAGCCTGTGTATGCAGAAGAGCCGGGGCTTTGGGAAGCCACCGACGCTTGCAACCACCCACGTGCAGCCGTGTCAAAGCAAAACGTGCTCAGCAACTCTGCAGAACGTGTGGATTCGTGACCTAGGAGGCAGGTTGCACATCATGAGTGCGCACAAGCAAAGCAGATTGTGGCAGATCGTGAGAGACAAGTGGCCTCACCTAGAGGGCAGCGTGCAGCTCTACTCTGGCAAGCAGAGATTGCAAACTGACATGTGCGTGAGCTGCCTTGTAGGTAAAGAAGTGCTGTCCCTCCGTGCCTTCCCAATCAGAGGAGGTGGGAAAATGGACAACAAACAACATGCAGAGGCAGTGGTTGCCACCGTGCTTCTGGAAAAGGGATATCCGCCCGCTAGCATATCCCAAAAAGCGGAACAAGTTGTTGAAAAACTTGGTGCCCCGCGAATCAACAAGGCCATGCTCACAGGGGGTAACGCATACAAGCAACTGCTCCTCATCGCTGAGGAGGTTGAAGTGCAGATCATCAGCGAGCCTGAGGAACGCCAGATGAGTGCCAGTAGGATACAAAAGGCACTGCGGGAAAAAAGAAAGAGACAACCCACAACCATCGCTGCAGATGACTACCAACCAGCACCCGGCATGTTCCTAAATGAGGACAACACGGAAACTGCCATCCTTCGCTCCTACGACGGGCAAGGGACAGGGGTAATTCTCATGAATGAAGCCAAAGCCAGCCAGTGGATTTGTGATAAAAATCCCATTTGTAGTGATGAACTCGCCATCATCATTCCGGGGCACAGGAGCAACAATTTAGGCCAGGGATGGGAGATTTCCTTCATTGCAGTGAATCGGGAGGGCCAGAAATGTGTTCTTGCCGGTACCCTCATACAAAAGGGACAGAAAAAGGTCAAGCTCACATCGAACATGGCAACCAAAACGGACACAGATGGTCAGACCACAATCACACTAGCCACATGGGCTGATGACTTCAATGAAGAAGACTGGGGAAAAATGCAAAGGGCCCCTGTGAGAACCATTAAAATGTTGCTGCAGAGCACAAAGGAAGAGAATGTGCTCATGGATGTGTGGGGGAGATCCTACCGAAACAAGGGATCCAAAGTAGAACCTGAACATGCCACCTCCATCATGGTTTGGGCCCTGGTAAAAAATTCCCATGCACCAGCATTGCTGAAAAAATCAGGCTTCAGCAAAGTGTTCATCTCTGCAAGACAGGAGGGAACCAAACATGACAGCAAGCATGCCCTGATATGGATAGGAAGCAGTAAGGCAGAAACAATCAAAGCAGCGAACGCCTACCCAGGGCATTGCGGATATGTTCGGGGCAAAAACGGCTTTGCTTTGAGAGTTGACGTCGCCAATCATGAAGCCGCACACAAGGCAATCATGCCTGAGGTCCAATACAAACCTCAGATGCCTATCAATCACTTGTACAAAGTCATGCCAGTTGAGTTTGGCATAACGCACGAGACTTGGATTGACATCGCCAAGAAGATCAAATGGGATATGAGGCCTGTCAAGAAGCTTGGTGCAAGTGTGTGGCTTCTAGGAGCCAAAGAAAAGCCACAAGTTGACCACATTGTGATCAATGATACCATGTGCATGCTCAAGGAGGTTGGCATACGCAGCAATGCATCACATGATGTCATCCGTGCAGGTCCCAAGCCCAAGCAGGCAGATAGCAGGGACGAATCCCGAAAATCCCTTGCCAGTGGAAAAGGTGTGCAAAGTGACCCGTGGCTTGTGAATGACCCTTGGAAAACTAGCACTGCTAGTGGAAGTGAAAAGAAAACACCGCCAAGAGTCGTTGAGGGGCCAACCGAGTCCAGGCTGAACCAGCAGGATCAGCAAATACGAGAACTGAGAGAGGCCGTGCAGAAGATTGACGCCC